AAAAAAAAAAAAAAAAAAAAAAAAAAAAAAAAAACACCGCAGGCGCCCTGCCTGCTAGCTTTATTATAAGTACTCGCGTCAAAAATAAATTGGTGCTCTCTCTCTCTCTCTCTCTCTCTCTCTCTCTCTAGAGTCTGTCAGTCATTTTGACAAACACGTCCAGCCATAGTCTGGAATTCACAGTATCGGCCTTCACACGTTCTCTCTCAATGCTCACCATCTCTGCCATGAGATCATTCTGCCTGTTGCCAATGGAGGCCTGCCTATCCATCCTCTCGATGATGCGGTCGGTAGAGCTCGCCAGAGCAGTTGCCATATCCATGTTGCCCCGTGTAGCAGATCGCTTCTTTGGACGTTCGTCACACTCCGTGAAACTCTGCTGTCCCACCCCCGATGAAGCACTCTCATGTCCTGCGTTGCTCTCGGAAGGAAGGTCTCCTGGTGGTGGCCACGGCAAAGTAGCTGTTGCAGAGGCGGACGCCGACGCGTTGTTATTCAGATTCCTCCTGTAAGCATCTGCAACGTGCCTCCCTGTGATAGAGTCCCGCTTGCCAAGGAAGCTATCAAGCATATCAAAGTGCTCCCTGTCAAAATTAGGAGGCAGAGCATCCTTCAACGGAACATCCCCTATCTTCGGATGCTTCCTCTCTGCCGCTGACATGGTCCAGTAGCTTGGCGCCCCCGACTTTAACATGAAGTCTCTGATCTCCCTATAGTTGCCTGTGAACTGACGCCACTTCTTCGTGCACGCATCCCATTTCTTGACTTCTCTCCCCGTTGCCTGTTTGATTGCTTCTGCAATGGGCTGCCACTTCAACTTCGGAGAATTGAAGGCCTGTCCGCCAGCTGCAATCAGAGCAGCCTCCTCGCGCTTTGCCTCGATTAGCGCGGTGATTTGGTTGCGAACCCATGACGCTCCCCGACATCACTTCCCACCTGAACCCTTCCCATCGGAGCTTGCACGTTTCTGTGAATCCTCTTCTTCTTCACTGGCAACTGGCTCCTGCTGTCCGCTCTGCGGCTCCTCCATATCGATGGGTGGCTGCTCCAAATCGATTTGCTTAACGCCTGATGGAACCGGAAAATGTAATGCACGCTGAACTCCATCAGGGGCAAGGTGAGGAGTTCTCCCGACAGGCGATTCATCAGATAAAAGTGAGCTGAACTCGCCTGGCCCGTTGTATGCATCACCCAAAAGGTCTCGTGATGGCGGCGTTGACAAGTGCTGCGTGGGCAGAGCAGCGGCAGGAATGTAGTACTCCTCACTGTAGCTGTCATCATCGGAAAGCCCCGAAAAAGGCATGCCGATCGGACCCTGGTGCAGCTCCTCTCGTCGTGGCTCTCTCGGTGATTGATGAGGTTGCAGCCTTGATCCGAAGAGCCAGCTGCTCGCGGATCCGTCCATGGTCTCCGAAGACTACGATCAAAACCGGGCAATCAGGTTGCACCGTTGGCATCAACGTGGTGAACCTCTCTCTCTCTCTCTCTCTCTCGCTTTCTTTCTCTCTCTCTCTCTCTCTCTCTCTCTCTCTCTCTCTCTCTCTCTCTCGCGTGCGCGCGCGCGCGGGGTGCCACGTCAAGTTCAACAACACTTCCCGTCAACGCCTTCGAAAGAACAGACAGCGTCGTTCACTACTTGCCATCTCATCCGCTCTCACCGTCGTCGTCGACAGGCAATGCCGGCCTACCTGTCTCGAAATTGTATTATACTGTTGCCCCGGCGCGACAATGCAGCAAATCGAAACCCCGCAGCAAACTACCACGAACAGGGAAAAAGGAAAATGAAACCGGTCGTCTTTCCCCCTCGACCTTCGATCTGTAATGTATACAAGCGGTTTTTTGTGTTAGATACAGTCTTGATGGGGGTGCACCATCCTCGTTAACAGAGGTAGAGGGTTGAGTCGGCTATTGTGCTTGCTTTTTACTCCCGGCAACCGCGCGACGCCCACCCACACCCATCAAGGAGGGAAAAAAAAAAAAAAAAAAAAAAAAAACGTGTACCTTGCTAATTTTTTTTGTATTTTTTTTTTTGAGAAAAACCTTGCTCGTTTGCTAGATGACACATAGGAGTTTCCAACGTAGATGGTGGCAAGCACATGCCGTAGGACAACGTATTTGAGATGGGAGCATCCAACTTTCCTGTTGTTTTTGTTTCCATTTTTTTTTTATTTTTTTTTCATTTTTTTTTAAAAGGGCGACGGTCTTGAGATATCATCAATGAGCTGACCGGGTATTTGGTTTTATTCATCAAGTTCCATCATCTGGGTTCGAACACGGGTCTGCTGTTGCGCAGGGGCCATGCTAATCTTCTCTGTATCATTCCAATTTTAACGGATGTCCCGGAGGACTTCTCCACTTTTTTACCTGTTGTTGCTTCTCCTTTTCTTCCGTTTTCATTGATCAGGATGCGCCATTTGAAGTCAGATGCCCCGGGATCACGGCGGTTTTTTTTTTGTGTTTGCCTTCCTTTTGTTTTGTTTTCTCCATTCAGGCCATACTCGCACCAGGACTCTCTTACTCTCTTACGTATCTGTGGACGGAATTGCAACCAGATACATCCGGGTATGTCCGTGAATGCCATCAGGAACAATTGATATACTGCCAGTGTGAGTACGCCCTCATCACCGTCCGTCTCCCGTGATCCGCGCTGAGCTCCACGCGGCGGTGGATGTTATGCCGCTCCCTGGATGGCCCGTCGGTGCGCCACCTCAGAACGTGCGCACAGTGCAGATACTTGCACACAATCGCTGCTGCGGCATGGAGGCAGGTGCGGCGCGGGGCATGGCAGACGGACGGCCATGGCAGCTTTGGCGTGGAATGCGGGCATCGCCACACCTCTCTGGGAAATGTGCAAAACGACAGCGAACTTCCCGCTGGAACATGGCCTGATGCATTCCCTATGCCGCACCCGTTTGTATCCGCCCAGGGGAACAGTGTGGATACATGGGACGATTTCCATGTATCTGCACTGTTTGCCTGGGCCGAAACAAACCGGTGGATAGGACACTGGGAATGCATCAGACCCACAAAACCAACCACATACATTTCACACCCATTCCAAAAGGTTGAGCTCTTCCGGGGAGCGGAGACAGGCGGAGATGTGAGGAGAGCGGCGGAGGTGTGGGGAGAGGCGGGCGCTACACCTCCGCAACACACGACAAACCGCCGTGGATGTAGGGTACAGAGCTGGGTCTTCTGCATGCGCGTGGTGTGACTAGGCGACGGGCTTCAAAAGACCCAAATGCCCCAATTCCCGCCCCTCCAGTTTTTTCGCGCCCTGTCTTATTCGTCTACGATTTTCTTGAATTCGCGAACACAAAAAGAAAAAAAGCGTTTGGTCATTTGAGACCACCTCCGGAGGTGGTCTCAAAAAGGGTTCACCCCCGGCCCCGCAGGCCGCTGACAGAAGGGTCACGGTTTGAGGCATTTGGTCACCGTGCCACCCCAGTGTGACCCGAAAAACGACTCAAATTTTGGGATTTTGGGCTTTTTGGTCCCCGTGTGAGTATGCCCTGTGTCCCACCAGCAAGCCTCTTCGAGACCAGGGACGAACAAGGCCCGGCAACGGACAGGAAGAAAAAAAAAATAAAACGGAAAAAAACACAACAGCTTTTTCGGAACAGGGCAGGGGCCCGTTGCTTTTACGAAAACTGCAAAACGGAGCTCCCAATACCTTTTTCGGCCTTCTGGCTAAGATCAAGTGTCCGTGGTCCATCGGACCAAAAAAATTAAAAAAAAAAACAAAAACGGAGCTCCCGAAGTTCACTCTACGAACGCCACGTCCTGAACCGTTTTCACATCACTCCTTTCACACTCGATGCCCCGGGATTCAAGGAAGCCAGTGGGATACCAAAAAAATGGATATTTTACTTACCGTAAGTATGGTGGGATGAGGCCCTTAGCCGGTAACACCGGCCGTGCAAAAACGGCGGGAAACTGTTTAACAGGGTGCAAAATTGACAGGAAAAGTCATTTTTGGGGGCCTGCGGCACACTCCTTGTCCCGGCTGGGGGGAAATGAATACAAAGGTTTCGTCCCGCGGAGGTTTCGTAACTTTTCCCAATCCAGTAGATCATGAGGTCCCGTAGGACTACATGTAGGCCCATGAGTACCGGGCTGTATGCAGGGAGCACAACGGGCTCTTCAGGTGTGCCTATTGTTTACGATGATGTTCCCTCTCGAAGAAGGGAGCGGTTGCGTGCTGCTCTGACCAGAGGGAGTGTGAGGCGGAGCACTTTGGTGAGGAATTGGAGCAGGAGGAGGATGTAGAAGCACGTGACTTTAGTGGAGTGAGGACGAAGAGGGCGGGGGCTCAGGGATATGGAGGGAGGTAGCGGGTGCCCAGATAATGCTACAGAGAGTCCGCCGAGTTGGCATGTATAATTGTAGGCGGAGGGACAAGATGCGAACCAGCTAAAAGACTCACTTTTCCATGGTCACTTTCTCTGTATCGATCCAAATTTTAACGGATATCCCGAAGGACAACTAAAAGACTTACTACCTTTGGCTATGGTGGACTTGTATCATGTACTGGCTGCATTCCTATTTAGTTTACGAGCCAGGGTCTATTACTCTTGCTCTTGTCTCTCCCTCTTTGCCTTATCGCGCAATGTTGTGACTGTCTTTGTCAGTTATGTCGTTGCGACTTGCGCCGTATGCGGAACTCTATGTGCCAGAGATTGGTGGCAAGCATCATCTGCTGGCAACCGATGATGTCCAGCCTCGTAACTAGCAGTCCCTCCTTGTTGACGTCTTGTGCCACAAGGGTAAGGTCTTCCCCCGACTCTTCCCTCTTCCTCCCCCTTGTTCCCTCATGCTTGCCGGTGATAAGCAACCGGACTGTTGCCCCCCAGACTAGATGGGGCCTTGGTGTTAAAAAATAAAAATAAAAATGCCCTGATGATAGCAGGAGTCGGTGGTGAACGGGCTGAAAGACGTGTCGAGTTCTCTCCACCGTTCTTCACGATTACCGCGCTCGTGCCTGCTTGTCTTGTATTAGTGAGCAACCAAGCATAGGCCAACATGGTACACCGTACACCGTGCGACGATAGGAAAAAATGACAATCCACACGTAAACAGGAGCGGTATTATAGTAAAGATTCAACAATTTAGAATCATCGGAACGAGCTCACGGAGCCGTCTCCTGTGACACATCGGCCCATCGGGGCTATGGCGCGACTTAGTCGCTAATCAAACTCACGACCTCCCTCTGGCAACTTCCCTCTGCCTACTCGCCTTTGAATTCGACTCGGTCGTGCTCGGGGGGGGGGGGGGGGGGGGGGGGTCTGTTCTGTGTGTCTTCTTCGTTTATCTTTCTGTGACTCTATTTCGATGTTGCTTTGCGTGTGCCTTTCACTCTTGATGATTGGTGGAAAGCGCCGTGTTTGTCTTCTTTGTGTATCTTTCTGTGACTCTACTTTGATGTTGCCTTGCGTCCCTTTTGCGTGTGCCTTTCGCACGGGATAATTGGTGGAAAGCGCCCACGCTGAAACATTTTTGGTTTCGGGCGCCCTTACAAACCCCGGCCAGTACTACGCGCCCTGGGAAAATACCTCTACTCTTTTTCGCTGGGCGCATAGTGCCGGCGCCGTTTTTTTCCGGCGGCCGTGGGCGCTTCCCACCAATTATCCCCTTCCACACTGTGCATGCTTGATGTTGCAGTGAGTGCATCTCATCCCGGAGGGCTGAGTCCCATTTCACCGTATTGTTCACTTCTGACCACATCTTTTCCAACATCAACGTTCAGAAATGAATAATTCTGGCAAACGTGGGAGTAGGCGAGGGGAGTGAGCAAACTGTGTGGGAAAAAAAAAAAAAAAGAAGGGCTAGGAACAAACTGTGTAGGAGTACGTATTCAAAAGAGCGAGGCGCGGGGGCGGAACAAAGGATTAAGAGGATGGAAAACCAAGAGCCGTCAAATCCAACACAGCATAAGAGAAAGCGATGGTATATTTTGCCCATTAACCGAGCCCCGCGAGACTCTCATAATCTCATGGTCTTCTGGAGCAAAACAAGGCCTGGCAAGTGAATGAGAGAATCGGAGGGACAACAACAAGGCCCACACGAAGGAGGGCCGATGCAAGCCGTTCACCAGAATATAAGACACCGAGCTAAAACAGGAAAGAAAACGGGCTCAGCGCATTTGGCCCTGAGATCGGGATCTGCGGGAGACAAGTTAGACGAGAGCCATCGCGGCGCGCATTGAAGCATTTCAACGAAATCCAACTCGATTGATGTTCTTGACTCTTTACACATTGAATGAGAAAAATCTCAACTCCATTCTCTTTATAAAGCCATTTGTATCGCACTCCTCCGGAATCCATCACACAAATCTCAACTCCATTCTCTTTATAAAGCCATTTGTATCGCACTCCTCCGGATTCCATCACACAGCCAAGGGCATCCTAGATAGT